AAATGAAGTCAGAAATATTATTCAGGGAAAAGCGGGTGATGTCCTCAATTCTCACCTTCGAGTAACCCCAGAAAAACTCTATGTGGAGGTCAATGGTCGTACATTGAAATATCAATCAGGCTAAAAGAGGAAACAAGGATTGTGACAAGGAAGTGATGCCGCGACGAACCTGACCGCCACCAAGCCTTCGAAGCTTGAAAATGCGAGGTCAGGGGCAATCAGTCAATCTCTTTCATCAATAGGTAGCACAATAAGATACTTACTCAGTTAAAAATCCAGAACAGAATGTCACGACGCCAAAGCCGCATAGAAGAAGTGGTAAGAGCACACCTGCGCCGACCTTGTGCAGCTACGTGTTCCAGAAAATGCAGATCATGAGCGACAAGCCCTCATGAACTGTTCAGGTAAGCACATACCACGAGGTTTGACGGGAGCTCTATGGCCTAGACAGACAGGAAGCATAGAAGTGTCGATCAGCTTTTTTGATAGCCTAAATAGGACAACGTGGTGCGATTGAAGGAAGCAGCAAGCACTGAACTACATAGGGTCTTCAGATGGAATATTTTGCATGGTTAAAGATGGAAAACGTCAGAAAATTGACCGAATATCGAGACAAAAAAATTGACTCACATCATGCCAGCCGTCAAGGCGATGGCGATCTGTATGTCCGAAACATCTAAATCCTCTTGGAAGCCTTATCAAATTACACCAGAGACATATCAGGGTATGAATCTGCTCATCGCTCTTGAAACAGAATGCTTTCTCCAGTCCACAGGACTGTCCTGTGATCGAAAACTTAACTCACCGATCACGCGCAAATTGCCTACGGTTGTATATCAACGAAGCTAGATGTTAAGCTTCTTTTTTCTGGAGATGTCAGTGCGCTCATCATGCACTCACCAATGCTGACCCGGTCCAAGAAGTTCAACAGCGAAAACATTGTCATTATCGGAAGGATCCTGTAAATACAAGGCAATCAGGTTCGTCAAGGTGAGATTTTTCACATAATTCGAAACTTTCAAAATGGAAGATATATAGAGTGAGCGTACGTCAGATCTAACATCCAAACTGTTTTTCGCTCCAGTGCCTGGTAATGTAATTCGTTCAAATCGTTCTGGTGCTCATTTTGGCAAGCCGATTCATCCTCATCGAAGTGTCGTATGTAAGTACCCTGCTTTCGCTTGGGCATCGTTAGTCTTCAATCACTGGAATGATGATATATCTGTCGGTCGTGAGGAAATAAGCTTGTGTAAATCAAAACCAATCGAAGAGGAGAAGAACTTACATCGCTGCTTCAGTTCGCTATGAACTATATAGCTTCGAGAAAGTGGCTGCCAAACGATGTCGTCTAGGGACCAATCAAACGGGTGATTTGTATTGAGCATTCAGATGATCTGATTGGTCGAGGTGCGCATCCATCAAGCTGAACCATTAAAAATGATCAGCTCAGTATAAAGTTGTATTCACACTAAAACGAGCCGTCCAATCAAAGGTTGCTCCAAATTCGGGGAGCAGTTCGTTCCATGAAGTCCTCAGCCTCGCTCGAGGCGGGCGTGGGACTTTGATAAGTCCAAATTCGATCATGACCTTACGACTCCCGCTACTCTCCGCTACTTCAACCTGCTCTTACACGGATCTTTGTGTGCCGAGCTGTCTAAATTGCCAAACTTAACGAAAGTCCACTCGTTTTTTGGTGCTACAGTGAGATTCCTTGATAAGCATGGTGATGGTTGCACCAAATCCCATGCTAATATAAAAAATGCTTCTTATCGGAACAGACCTAATAGCCTATAGGAGCATAAAACATGCTCAAAATTATGCTATGCTTGAATGTCATGCTTGGCACTTGCAACTATTGAAAAATATGTACTACAGAAACCTAGCAGCAAAAATTGACAGACAGTTTTTCAATTGATCTTGGCTTTTCTACTCAATGCAGCCTAATTTACTCCACTTCATCTACCTTTCTTCTCCTTTCTTGCATCACATAGAAGCATAAACACATGAAAAAATCATGTTATGCTCCTTTTTTCATGCTTCACATGAAATTATACAAGCATATCAGTCAAAACCTGAAGCATATGCTTAAAATGCTTATAAATCCGAATTTACTGCCCACCAAAAATGGTCACATCATTTTTGATGCTTATCAAAAAATATGCTTGTAAAGGCAATGCTTAAAAAGGAATCCCACTGTAAATTGCCATCTGTACAACGATGGGGCTTATTGTAGAGCGGCAAAGGGGAATGTAGACTGATGTGACAAGTGTCAGTTTAGATCTACCAAAACAAAACTATAATGTGACATTCCATATAGAAGAGAAATAAAGTTCTACCTGATGTGACAAGTGTCAGTTTAGATCTACCAAAACAAAACTATAATGTGACGAGAGAAAAACTGAGACAAGTGTGGTAAAACATCAATCTTATATATGATACAAGTTTCACGTGGCGCTACGGTGATTACATAATGGTACAAGATGAAACCAGTCTAGATAGAAACAATCCCTAACATTCAGGACCCTGGAAAGCTCCCCTTAAACCTACCGACATGTTTGGTATGATTTGAGTGGTCAAGATTTGGTCATGTTACCGACCAAACTGGTATGAAAATGGCTTGTTAGTCATTCATCTTACAGACGTGCCCGGTATAATTTTTAAAATCTCATTGTCATACCAACATTTTTGGCACTAAATGGCACCAAAACATAGCTTTGTAGCCCGGGGCTCACTTTTGGTACTGAACTGTTACCGACCAATTTGGTATGAAAGCTCCAAAAGTCCGGGATTTTTGGGTATGAAAATCCTCAAAATCCGGGTTTTACGTCAGTTGGTTCAGGGGGAGCTTTCCGGGGTCCTTAACATTCCATCTTCTTCTATCCGGTCCAAACCGAAACACGGTGAGACTAGGCTGAGTGCTAAGCCACCTACGGTGCCAAGCCAGTCATAGCCGTAACACCCCCCCCTCAACCTTGTAGAGGTTTGCCTTCGTAAGTCATACCAATAAATTTCTTCATAGCTTGAAAAATTACGTTTCCTAATGACTTAGTGAAAATATCAGCTCTTTGATTACTACCATCAATCCATTCAATCTTCAAATTACCGTCATAAACCTGCTCATTAACATAGTGAAATTCACGAGCTACATGATGAGACCGCTTCGTCAAATGGAGATCTTGAGCTACTTTAATTGCTGCAGTGTTGTCGCACTTGAGGGTAGTGATGAAAACCTGAGAGAAAATATCTTGAAGAAGATTTTGAACCCAGATAGATTCCCGTGCCGCTACGCCGAGCGCCATATATTCAGCATGGCATGTTGAAGTTGCCACGCAACCCTGCCTTCTTGATGCCCAAGAAACCATATTCCCAAACAAAAAGATCCCAAAACCGTGAGTGGATCGAGAAAACTCACCCCCCCAGTTCGCATCACAGTACGTCTCTAAATCTACCACATCATCAATCTTTCTAAAATGAATACCTTCACCCTTAGTACCACTGATATAACGCAACAGATGTTTGAGAGCCAGCCAATGGCTATCGTTTGGTCTTGAGGAAAACCTTGCCGGATAGTTGACCGCAAAAGATATGTCCGGACGTGTTCCGATAGCCAGATAGGAAATAGAGCCCAGTATCGAAAGATAAGATGATGTATTAACACCTACCAAGCTTTTATCGGTTGAGTCGAGTTGTAAGTTCGCGATCATTGGAGTCGCCGTTTTGGAAGATGAAAAACCAGTTGATTCGAGAATACTTGTTGTGAGAGCTGGTTGAGATAGAAAAATACCTTGAGGCGAGTATTCAATCTTGATCCCAACGATTTGCTCCAAATTCGAGTTCCAGGTGATTTGAAATGTCATCAAGAGTGATTCTTTAATAAACATGATAATGTCCATTGATGATCCAGCAATAACTCCGTCGTCAACATGAATCCAAAGAAGAGCCGTCTGATCTTTATACTGTAAAACATACAAGCTTTGATCGTTGATGCAATACTTGCACCCCATGCCCGATAACACTGAAGAAAAGTGTTTCCACCAACACCTTGCTGCCTGCTTGGTTCCATAAAGCGCCTTCCTGAGTAGCAATACCAAATTAGGACTAGAAACGCTAACACCTTCAGCCGGTCAAACAAAGATTTGCTCATCAATTGGTGAGTGAGGATAGGCCGCAACAATGTCGAAACCACACAGATGCCATCCTTTCTTGACCGTGATTGTAAAAATAATCATCAGTGAGGTGAATCTTGCGGTTGGTGCGAAAGTTTCAGAGAAGTCGATGCCTTCTCTTTGAGTAAAACCTTGTACAACAAACCTGGCTTTTCTTTTAAGTACATTTCCATTAGCATCAAGTTTTTCAGCAAACACCCATTTGCTCGAAACGGTCTTCTGCCCAACAGGCAACACAACTTCTTCCCATACCGATAATCTTTTCAACATATCAATTTCTTTAACACACGCTTCTTTCCATTCCTTTCCATGTTCACCATGGACTGCTTCTTGATAACTTCGAGGTAAATTCTGCGCAAAGCCAGCAGCTTTCGCTTGTAAAACCGCAATGTCTTCATCTTGCGATCGAATCATTTCAGTGTAAAACTTATCTTCAAGAATATAATCCACCAATAATGATTCGATGAGGTCTCTAAGATCTTGATGAGCTTTCACTGAATCAACGTTAGTCAAGAGATTGTTGAATGAAGAAGTAGTTGGGTCCTTAGGATTGTCGAGTTGTTGTGCTGATTGAACCACATTCTTTTCATCTAACCATCTTGCATGTCCAGAGTCAAGAAATTCATCAGTAACTGGGTTCCAAAAGCGCCAACCGTTACTTCCTCCAAGATACCCAACGAATCTGCATTTCACCGCTCTGTCATCAAGCTTCTTCCTTTTTTCGACAGGTACATGGACGAACGCCCAGCTGCCAAATATGCGTAAATGATCAACCTGAGGTACAATACCAAACATAAGTTCAGTCGGCGTCTTCGAATTTGTGTTCGAATTAGGAATTTTGTTGTGAAGGTCCGTCGCGGTAGTGATGGCAAATCCCCAGAATCAACGAGGTAAGCCTGAGTCACGCAAGAGAACTCTCATACCACCTTGCACAGTCCTATTCGCTCTCTCAATCGCTCCATTCTGTTCGTGAAAATAGGGCAAAGAGGTTTGAACGTTGATGCCTTTCTCAGAAAAATAAGCTTTAAGAGAGTTGTTAACGAATTCCCCCCCACCATCGGTACGCCAGTTGATCACCTTTCTCCCAGTTCGTCTTTCTGCTTCAGCAATGTAAGCTTTGATGTGGCTGGCCGCTTCATTCTTCGATTTCAATAGATAAGTCCTCATAAAAGTTGAGAACACATCGCGTATTTCGAGAGAATATTCTGATCCGGAAATGGTTTTGACAGGAAATGGACCGCAAAGATCAGCTACGACTAATTGAAGAGGAGAGTCATAAGATATCAAGGAAGGGCCGATAGTAGAAGTTTTTGTGGATTTAGAAATTGCACAGTCCTCACAAGGGACTGTTTTTGTAAGCTTTTCAGGAAGTCCAACACATGAACTCTCCCTGATTAACTTTTGAAGAACACAGTCATTAGGATGACCAAGACGTCGATGCCACAGCATGAAGTCACCCAGTACAGCAGATGTCGTGATAGGATTGGTAATAGCTTTGAAGACCCATTTCCTACCTGAACGTTGTGCCGTAATTACTCTTGAATTGTCTTTCCAGAGTTCAATCCCATCAGTTGAATTTCGAAAAGTGAGACCATCTTCCACCATTTGTATACCAGAAAGGAGACTATGTCTTAAATTCTCACACAAGTACACATTGTTGACATTCAAAAACTCCTTAGAGTTCGTTGCATTGCAAATACGGACAGATCCTACAGCAGTGATAAAGGAAGGAGAGGAATTGTTTGCCATCCTAACTGGTAGATGTGGTATATCCCGTATTGAAGTGAAGAATGAACAATCATTGAAAACATGGTGAGTCGCACCCGTGTCGAAGATAATGATGGATGGATGCACGTCAGTATCAAGTTGAGAAACTATGATGTGGTCGACGTTGACGCACCCAGAGAAATCGATATCAGCAAATTGTGGCTCGACAATTCGCGTATCAGAAGTTGAAGCCACCGCCACAGTGCGCTCCTTTGCCAACTTGGCCCTGCACACTTCTTCCTTATGCCCCTTCTTT